AGAGGGTTGCAGCAAACCCTAAACACTCTAGAAACGTACGTAAACCCTAAACCCTAAACCCTAAACCCTAAACCCTAAACCCTGATTATATATATATATTTTTTGTTATATGTACATACGTTTTCTATCTAGTTTTAGGGTTTAGGGTTTATATTTTAGGATTTAAAAAAAATTTTTTTTTCTAGGGTTTAGGGTTTAGGGTTTAGGGTTTAGGGTTTAGGGTTTAGGGTTTAGGGTTTGTATATAGGGAGTATCGTCGACTGCATGCACAGCAAGAAGAGACATATGCAGATTTAAAAAAAGAAAAAGAAATAAATAAAAAAACAAAAGAAGAAATAAAACAACTGCGAGAAGAAAAAGAAAAAGAAAACGCAGAAAAAGAAGAACAAATACAACAAATGAATGAAAGATGTAAAACCCTCGAAGGTAAACCCTAAACCCTAAACCCTAAACCCTAAACCCTAAACCCTAAACCCTAGAAAATATATAATATATAATACACAATAACAAATAAACCCATTGATGCTGCAACGCATATTAAAAAATGCAGTTTAGGGTTTAGAACCCAAATTTCAGGGTTTAGGGTTTAGGGTTTAGGGTTTAGGGTTTAGGGTTTAGGGTTTGGGGTGTATGTACAGCTCTGCTGGAGGAGACAGTAAAACAAAACGCAGAGAGACAAAAGGAGACAGAAGAAAACCACGCTGCTGCACTAGCAGAGAAGGAGCAGCAGCTGCAGCAGCTGCAGCAAGCGGTATGTTCAAACCCTAAACCCTAAACCCTAAACCCTAAACCCTAAACCCTAATTTCTAAACCCTAAACCCTGGAGAGCTAAGAAGAAGCAGCGGATATACCCTTTGTGTGGTGCTTTAGGATTCACGGTTTGTTGTCTAGGGTTTAATCTCTAGGGTTTAGGGTTTAGGGTTTAGGGTTTAGGGTCTGAGGTTTAGGGTTTAGGGTTTAGGGTTTAGGGTTTGGGTGCAGCTGCGAGAAGCGATAGCGGCAGAAGAAAATGCACAAAAAGAAAACGAAAACGTCAAAAACAAACTGAGAGAAACGGTGCGGTCTTCTAGGGCTTAGGGTTTAGGGTTTAGGGTTTAGGGTTTGGGGTTTAGGGTTTGTGGTTTAGGGTTTAGGGTTTAGGGTTTACGGTTGTTTAGGGTTTAGGGATAAGCTTCTAACGGGTAAGTTAGGTGTTTAAGGGGTGAAGAAGAAAATCTTATTTGTCTAGGGTTTAGGGTTTAGGGTTTAGGGTTTGGGGTTTGGGGTTTAGGGTTTGGGGTTTAGGGTTTAGGGTTTAGGGTTTAGGGTTTGCAGGAGAGCAGCGCCAAAGGGAGAGTCGAAGAAGTGCTGCTCTCCGCGCGACGAGCAGCAGCAGCACGAGAAGCAGCAGCAGCAGAAGCTCTGAAACAGGTACTATAAACCCTAAACCCTAAACCCTAAACCCTAAACCCTAAACCCTAAACCCTAATTTTTTTGTGTTTGCATGCGGTGGTTTCTGCACAGCTAAAAGAAAAAGTTGAAACCCTAGAAAAAGAAAACGAAGATAAAACCTCTCTCGCCCAAGAACTAGAAAGGCACACAAACCCTAAACCCTAAACCCTAAACCCTAAACCCTAAACCCTAAACCCGAAACACTAGACCCTAAACCCTAAACCCTAGAGCTTAAACCCTAGAGCTAAAACCCTAAGACTAGGCGTGAAACTCCATCCTGCTTTCATCACCATAGGAATCTAAATTAGGGTTTAGGGTTTAGGGTTTAGGGTTTAGGGTTTAGGGTTTATGTTGAGGTGCAGGAGGTTAACGGAGAAAGCAGCAGAAGCTGAGGGTTTGCTGCTGCAGCTGCAGCAGCAGCAGCAACGCCTAGCAGCAGCAGCAGAAGAAATATCCAATATAACAAAAAGCAGAGATGAGGCGCAGCAGCAGGCTAAACAAATGGAAGAGGTGCTGCTGCTGCTGCTGCTGCTGCTGCTGCTGCTGTTGCTGCTGCTGCTGCTGCTGTTGTTGTTGTTGTTGCAGTTGTTCTTGCCGCTTTTGGTGTCGTTGCTGCTGTTGCTGCTGCTGTTGTTGTTGCTGCTGTTGCTGCTGCTGTTGTTGTTGTAGCTGTTGCTGCTGCTGCTCCTGGTGTTGCCGTTATGGTTGCTGCTGCTGCTGCTGCTGCTGATGCTGGATACAGCAGCATCAGTAGCAGCAGCAGCAGCAGCAACAGCAGCAGCAGCAGCAGCAGCAGCAGCGCGTCCCTTGGCTTCTCTTTGCCCACCCCAACCCCCCAAACCCTAAACCCTAAACCCTAAACCCTAAACCCTAAACCCTGATTTGTTTTTTTTTTTTTAATTTCAGGAGAATACACGTCGCGGTCGTTTGCTGCAGCAGCAGCTGCAGCAGCAAATAGA